CCAACAGCCGTATCCACACCAACAGCCGTACGCCTCGCCCTACCAGCACCACACGGCTTCGGGTCCGGCGGCATACCCAGGCGCGTATCACGAAGAGCCGTCGTATCCAGGTCCACTTGTCAGTCCTGCGCCACATTCAGCTCATGCTCGCGCACTAGAGACGCAGCTGGAACACCTACACCTGGCGCCCGAGGCCGGGTCGTCGAGAGCGTCGAGCGCTCCAGCGTCACGGTCCGCGTCGGGCGGCGGCAAGTCTGACATTGCACTGCGCTATCCGCGGCTCCCCACGGTGCCTGCAGTCCCACCTGCTCCTGCGGCACTCGCTACGGCGGATGCAGAGGTGGGCGAGTACGTGGCGCAGCTGGGTGCGGCGCTCGAGGCGTACGAGCGTCGCGATGAGATGCTGCGCCTGCGCACCGAAGCGGTAGGCTTTGAACCACGTCGTGCGTACCTCGCATGGCAACACCCTTCGTCTTCCGAGGACGCAAGTGAGGAGGGGGCCGGTGGGGTGAATGCGGTGCTGGGGGTGCGGCTGTTGCAGAGGCTGGATGCGGTGCAGCGCGAAAACGCCGAGTTGGGCGGTCTGCTCGCGCGCGCGCCCGCGCAGCGCCGTGAGCTCGAGAACGAGGTACACGAATGCCATACGCTCATCGATGCGCTCGACTCGGCACTCACCCACGCGCAGCAGCACGCACAAAAGACGCAGCAGGCACTCGATCTCGCGTGCGCCTCCAACTCCACCGCCATCCTCTCCATCCCTCCCCAACCTCAGCACGACAGCATCAAGTCCGAACCTTCGCCACGAAAGGGAGCACCACGAAGACGAAAGGGCAAACCATAGCTCAAACGGGTATTCGCATTTCGTTTGCACGGACTACAGGCGGGCGGACTTGGGCTGCCAGTCCGGATGCACGAGCAGCGGGACGAGGTCGGCGTACTTGTTGTTGGCACCCAGCAGGTCGAAGGGGTCGTTCCTGATGCGCTGGGCGTTGTGCTCCAACCACTGCCGCTTGCGCACGTACATCTGCGTCTGACGATCCTCCCTCTGCCGATCCCATCTCCAGCTCCACATGCGTGTCCTGTCTGGATCCGCCTTTTCCAGCTGCCCGTACAGCTCGGCTGCAAAGTGCAGTTCCGACGGCGGACCGTCCTTCAGACTGCCGCCGAGAAGGTGGTAGCCGGCATAGATGGTGGGGTCGTTTCGATCCGCGTGCGGATTGCGCGCAACAGCACGGGCGTACATCCAGTCGAGTCGGGCGCGTTCGTCGTGCAGCCGATCGTGGGTGGAGGAGGGGACGGCGATCTTGCCTGCCCACACCGCGGTGATCCAGGCAGAGATGAGGTCGTTGAACGAAAACGGCATGGTGGAGATCACCAGCCCGACGAAGGCAAGCGTCAAACGCGGGGAGGGAGCGTAGAGTGCGTGGTTGTACATGCGCGGAACGCGCACGGCTCGCAAGCTGTCGGGCGTCAACAACTCCACCTCGCCCGTACCGCCTGCTCGTGCTTGGTCGGTAAGCACATGCAACCATGGATACTTTTGTCCATACCCCGTACCCAGCACTACGTAATCCACACCGCTAATGGTGCTTCCGTCCACCAGCGTCAGCTCGAGCTGCGTTGCCCTTTCCGAGGTAGCAGCGGGGATGAGCTTGTAGGTCGAGATCATGCCCACGTCCTTGATGCGCTCGTCTGGAAGCGAGGGACACTTGTCGACCGGAGCCGTCTTGGCCGAACGGTACACTGGATGGTCGACCGAGTTGAGAGGAGCCAGATGCGCAGCCACTTCGTTGGCCGAATTGTTGTTGCCCACCACGACCACCTTTTTGCCACGGTAGGCAATCGAGTCGCGATAGTGCTTGCAGTGGTGAATGTGTCCGGCCTTGCGAGCTTCTTGCAGACCGGGTGCGTCGGGGTAGTAGGGAGTATCGTACCAGCCTGCCGCTACGACGACACGATCAAAGGTACGCTCTTCCACCCTCGGGGTGAAGCTCACCGCTTCTGGTGCGGTGAGGCCTGAAGTCCAGTGCTTGAGTGTGACCTTCCAGCCTGCATCTTGGGCGAGTTGTTGGACACGCAGCACTTCGACGCCACACCGGATGCGCGATCGATACGGCTTTGCGAAGCTGCGCAGATACTCGTGTGTTTCGGCGAGCGACGGGAAGGTCTCACCGTTTGCCGGGGGCTCGAACTTCTGCCCCGAAAACTCGAGGAACTCGGGCAGCACGTTTCCGCGCAGATTGAGGTACGCCGGACTGGGCCAATGCGGCTGACCGCGCGGGTCAAAGAGCGGCGAAAGCCCCTGCACCTTGTCGGCCCCCACGGCACGTTCGAGTGCATACGTCTCGTCGCTCCAGTACCACACGCCTCCGACATCGTCTCGACGCTCAACGAGCATCGCGTCGAAGATCGCATAGCTGCCCGCATCGTCGTGCGCACGCTCTTCGCTGAGGTTGCGCAGCGTGACGAGGCCAGTCGCTCCACCCCCGATGATGAGCACGCTCTCGGGACCCTGTGCGCGCGTACGCGGTGTCAGCCGCATAGTCGACGATTCACCCATGGTCGCCGAAGACCAGAGGGAAGAGTGTAGGAGATGGTGATGGTGGCAGAGCGGGGTCTTGCAATCAACCGCTTAAATCGTGGTTGGGCAGCCCACGTTTCTTCTCGACTCACCGGCCCAGATGGCGCCATCCCGCGTGGCTTTGGCGGGCTTGACGTGCTGCCACGGTCCAACCCAACACCCACCGGCATCTTTGCCGGCCAGACGGACCAACAGCGCCAGGCGCGCAAATACCCGAGACTGTTAGACCGCCACCACACCTCCTCGAAGCCAGCCTCAACCTCGACCTCGAACTCATCCAAGGCCCGCTCCGCTCAGTCGGTATAGAGAAGGTGCAAGTGCGTCAAAGCGGAAACATAGTACAATCGATTCGGAAGGGCAAGTGGTTACAGCTCGGCGAGGAGCATGGTGCCGAGGCTCTGTACGATCTGGTCGCCCATGGTGGATTCCACGGCGTCTTCGAGATGGCGCTTGGGGTCCTGCTTGCCCACGTGTCGCGTCTTGAGCTGTTCTGGGGTGAGCGTCGACTCTTCCTGGACGGACTTGTTGTAGGCCTCGGAGAGCGAGAGCATGCGTTCGATGGCCTTTTGGTTGTTCTGCTTGTGTTCGCCAAAGTCGCGCAGCCTTAGGCCTTCGGTCCAGTTGCGCTTGTGGAGGTTGTTGAGCATGGACTGTTCGAGCTCCGTCTTGCGGTATCCGATGGCGATCGAGTAGTAGTGACGATTCAAGCCGTGGATGAGCGACTGGATGGACGGCTTGTTGAGGTGGCCGATGTTGCTCGTCGTCTGGCGCGGTTCCTGGCCGAGCATCACCGTGGACGGGTTGATGAGGCGGAAGGCGTCGATGACCACCTTGCCCTTGACCGACTGGATGGGGTCCACGACCACGGCGACGGCGCGCGGGTTGAGCTGCTCGAACGACTGCTGCGTGTTGATGTCGACGTTACTGAGCCAGCAGCCGAAGCCGGGATGCGAGTGGTACCAGCCGACGACCATCTCGGGCCGGCCGGTCTGCTTGAGCATGTCGAGCATCTTGGTCTGGAAGACGGGGTCGACAGCCTCTACGGAAACCCCCGTTCCGGACTGCGGCATTGCGAACACGTCGATCACCGACACGGTGTAGTCGTCGATAAAGGAGCCGAGCATGAGACCCATGACCTCCATGGGCACACCGGCGCGGCCGTGCTTGAGCATCTTGATGAGCGCGAGCGACGAGATGTACACCATCTCTGCGTTGTCGTTCTGCGGCGCATCGCCTGGCGATCCTCCTGCACCGGGCCCACCGCCCATGCGCGCCTGCTGCATCATCGACTGGAAGTCCATGGCGTGTGTGTGTGTGTGTGTGTTACGCCCGTGGCGGTTGCGGCGGGAGTGTCTCTGGAAGTGTTGGCTGGAAGCGCGGTGCTCGTGCAGACGATAGAGGCTGGTTCGATGCGGGCTGAAGTTGCTGGTGGTGAAGGGTGCTGCAAGGTGTGCAGGGAATGCTGATCGTGATGACGGGCGAGGTGCGAGAGGTGCGAGAGGTGCGAGAATTGTGGACAGACGCAAGTGGAGTGGCGCTTCTGAGTTGATTGTCAGGCCAACGCGTCCCCTCCGACCTCGCTGCCCTGTGCAGAGCCAGAGCGAGAGAGAGAGAGGACGAGAGAGCCACAAGGCGCAGCCGTGATCGCCCAACACTCACCTCAACCTTTGCTTATGTAAGTATTATCTTTTTTGAAAAATACCGACGATCTCACATTCTGAAGATATGGGCACAGCGCCTCCACACACACGCACGGCGACGCGCAGCAGCTGCGAGCGACGAACGAACGTATTTGGCCGGGCGCCTCGGCTGAGTCGACCTCAAACTCAGGCTCGCCCTCAGGCACCGACAGCCGCCCAAACAGGCACACGATGATATCACGCCGCCAGCTTCTGCCTTGCCTCCTCATCCAACACTCGCCATCAAGGGTCCGCTTCACTCTGCACTCTCGCATCGACTCGCTCGTCCATCCTACGCCTCATTCTCCTCCAGTCTGGTTGCCTGCCCCGCCACTGCACGCGTTCCCTGCCCCGCCATCGTCGGCAGCTGCTACAATCGGCGGACCGGTACGACCAACCCATCGCTAGACGTCATCACCGCCAACGCTCGTCGCTCCCAACGTACTATCCGACCCTGCCGCGCGAGCACGTAAGCTCTGCCCCACACTACGCGGAACCATGTCGTCCGGCATCGGCTCGCTCTTCTCGTCGCTCTTCGTGTACCTGCGCTCGCTGCTGTTCGCCAAGCACCTCGAGATCTGCGTGGTGGGCCTCCAGGCGGCGGGCAAGACGTCGCTCGTCAACCTGCTCTCGTCCGGTCAGTTTGCAGACGAGATGGTGCCCACCGTCGGATTCAACATGCGCAAGGTGCGCTCCGGCAACACCACCATCAAGGTGTGGGACATTGGCGGCCAGCCGCGCTTCCGCAGCATGTGGGAGCGTTACTGTCGAGGCGTATCCGCCATCGTCTTTGTCGTCGACTCCTCCGTGCCCCTTCCCTCCTCCACATCCAAGCAGACCGCAGCATCGGCGTCGACATCACCGCCTGCGCACTCAGACGCACCGCCATCCGCGGCAGCTTCGGCACAGAAGGTCGACGCGGCTACGGGAGCGAGCACAGCAAGTCCGTCGGCTTGGACTGTGGCGACAGAAGAGCTGCATGCGTTGATCGAGCGCCCCCATCTCGCCGGCGTGCCGCTGCTCGTGCTCGCAACCAAGAACGACATCAAGGGCGCCGCACGCGTAGACGACGTCATCCGCGTCATGAAGCTCGACACCATCGCGAATAGGGAGGTCAGCTGCTACAGCATCAGCTCCAAGAACCAGGTCAACATCGACGTCACCCTCAAGTGGCTCGTGGCAAGGAGCCCTGCCGGCCAGCGATGAGTCGCAGCATCCATTCCCACAGGTGCTTGTCCGAGTCTGCCCTCGTCCAAGCGTCCATTCGGCATCCTCGCCGTCACCTTTTCTTGTTCCTCCAGCATCCTACACACAGCAATACCCGAACTTGTTCTCCCATGGCATGTGCGGCTGTCGGCAGGGCTGAGCGTGTGAGCTAGCGGTGAAGGATAAGAACGTGTAGGATTTTTCGGGCCCAAACAATGTTAGATCAGGGTCCCGCACGAACCGGCCCCACGCGGCATGTTGCTGGCTCCACACCAACACTCGGCCACTCTGGCGCCCACCACCATCTGCACCTTGATTCTTTCCATTCGTGCTGGCGATGACGGTCGACGATGCGCAAGCCGAGCGGCTAGTGGGTCAAGCAGCAGCAGCTGCACGACTCACATCGACCACTCGCACCGACATCCAATCGCTCTACACGCAAGCCCTCGATCGCCGGGCGGAGGAAGACGGCGAGCGCGATGCGAGGTACACTGCGCTCGCACCGACGCTCGTGGCGCTGAGCCAGCAGGCGAGCACGTCGAAACAGCTGCTGGGATCGCTCGAGTCGTTCCTGTCCACGTTCCAGTCGGATCTATCGACGCTCTCGACGCATATCTCGGCTCTGCAGGCCACGTCGCATCAGATCGATTCGCAACTCGATGCCACGCGCGATGTCGAACTCCAACTCGCTGCGTTCTTGTCGGATATCGCACTCAGCCCTCGCATCGTCGATCTCTTCTTCGATACCGATCCCGAGTCCCGCCCAGAGCTCTGGCTCAAGGCGGTGGGGCAGCTCGAACGCGTACTTGATGCAACCCTCCCCTCGGCCACCATCGAGCTTCCTGGTCGCAAAGAGCCGCTGGTGCTGGGAGACGTTCAGGCGGTCAGAGAGGTGCGGGACGTGGCGGAGGCGTGCAAGAACGTGGTGGCGGCCAAGTTGAGGACGTACCTTACGGCGCCCCATGCGGCAATCAAGGCGTCCGTGACCACCAACCTACAGGTGGTGCAGACGAGCGTGCTGCTGCGACAACACCGACCTTTGTATGGCTTCCTCGCACGGCAGATGCCACGTGTTGCCATCGATGTTCAGCGCAGCTACGTAGGTGCTGCTCGGCTGTACTTCGAGACGGCCTTTAGGCGGTATACGCGCAGCCTGGGCGTGATCCGCAAGAGGTGGGTCGAGACATCCACCGCTGCCACTATCACAGAACCTCCACCAGCAGGGGCAGATGCCAGTGCCAATGCCAGAGCCATGTCGAATGCGCTTCAGGCGAGCATGTCCGGTGTATCCAAATCAGCGGCGGTTGGGATGCGGGCAGGGGGCAGCACACCCACACGTGGGGCGAGTCAGGATTCTTCAGCGGGAGATGCAGATGCCGTGTCGGTGGATGCATGGCTGTTTCCTGCGTCGCGACTCGCATATTCGCGACTGGACAGTGGTGCTGCCACGGTGCTGGGCTATCTGGCGGACGATTCGGCGTTCAAGGCGTGTCCCGAGAACCTGTTTCGGTCGCTCTCGCTCGTGCTCGTCGACAATGTGTGTTCAGAGTACACGTTTATCGTACGCTTCTTTGAGGCGATCTCGAGCGACGATGATCGTCTCCTCGACCCGCGACCCGTTGGCGAAACTCCTGGCGTTGCTTCCGTTGACAGCGCAAGTGCAGTGGAGGAGGATGAGGTGGAGGCGTCGGTGGTGCAGCTGAGTCGGCACGAGCAGGCGCAACTGCGTGGACGCGGTGCAAGCGAAGAGGTGTTTCGCCAGATCATGGAACCTGCCGTCACCACCTGGACAACCTTCATCAAGTCTCTCCTCCCTTCATCCTCACTGACTGTATCGGCCTACTTTGCACTGCTGTCTATGGTCCAGTTGAACGATGCCTTGCTGGCGCTGGTGGCGTCTAGGGGTTGCGACAACTCGCTCGTCACTTCGGCAATGATGGGGTTCAAACTCGACTCGTACCCACACCTCAAGCGCTTCCTCGACGACCAGATCACCGCCCTCACCAATCCATCCCAATCCGCTTCGCTCTGGAAGACCATCTCCATGTCTACGACCTCCACTGCTGACCCGCAAATCATCGCCGTCAGATACACCAGCCTCTTCACCAAATCCCTCTGGATTTTGCAGAACGACGATCCCGCCATCCTATCCGCCCTGCAAAGACTACGCGCACAGCTCGCACAATCCCTTCCAACCACACCACCCCTCCGAGACCAAGCCATCAACATCCTCATCTCCTCGCTCGAATCGGCCCTACCCCCCTCCCTCGCAAGCCACCCTACCGCACAAAATGAATTCGCCTTCTGGAACAACATCCTCCGCCCCTAAACCTCCTCTCACACACTGCAACACCGCAACGAAGCATCATTTGTACACTTGACATTCCTCCCCCTCCGCCGCCAATAAAATGTGGGTGTGTGTGCGCGTCAACTACGACTCGTCCGGAAGCGTGCTGAGCTCGGAATCGTTGCGCAGCATCGCCTGGCGCTGCACTTCTTCCTTGTGGTACTGCATGTCGGCCACGATCGCTTCCGAACCAGGGTGCGTGTGGTTCGGATGGCCAGGCACATGCTTTGGCCTGCCCAGGCCACTCCCACCCTCACCATCCTTCATCTGCACATCCGCATCTCCCGCCGTATCCGCCGTTTGCTGCTGCTGCTGCTGCTGCTGCTGC